AGGGTTTGAGTATAGTAAGGATTTGCATTTTGCCCAAATGGTCACAACTATCCTTACGTATTTTGTTCCTTGTAAATCTTACCGAAACAACACCTGACACCTCGTCCCAGTTGTTTAGCCCAACAGCAACACTCACTGTCCATTGCACGACGTAATGTCAACTTCCAGCAGGTCACCGAATGGTTCCTTCAGGTCACCGCCATACCTTCCGCGTTGGTTGTCCCCTGAGCAAGGTAGGCAGACTTGACATCCTGGATGATACAGCTCATTTCGAAGTCATGAAACATTTATAATAATAATATCATGTAATGATAACGAAAAGACCATCTTTTGAAACAATTTTTTCTGTAGTTCCAGAAGTCACACCAAGCAAATTGTGGGAAATTTCAGTTTGCTACACAATAGAATCCATTAATTTTTTTTAACTGTAATTTGTAATGAATGATTGTAACTCAGCGTTTTCAATAGGCCCTATATTATGGGCTAACTTTAATTATACTCATCAGTGTTTGTTGTTATGACAATTAATTTTGCGGTATCATTGCTTTGTTGTTTTCATTGTTTGTTAATGCTTGACCGTTATTTGTGTAGTTTTGTCTGTTGTCAAGTACACAGACAGACGCATTGAACTGGATTGATATTTATCTACTGCACACTATAGGATTCTATAGAATATTCCTGTTCAGAGTCTTCTTTCTAATATTTCTTTAATAGTCTGTCAGAGTGGAACTTTGAGTTCACATATTTTTAAAATAAGTTCTTTGTGATTTTGCTAGGCTTATTTCATTGTATGCTGTGGTTCAATTATTTTATATGCAAATCTTATAGCCGGACAGTTGTCATTTATTAATTGTTCCCATCGTTATATGTGTAGGCCTAATGTAATTTATCTAAATCTTGTATAGGTTAGAATCCTTTCATTTTATTTTGGACTAAAATATATTTTAAACATAAAAATCAGTTAAACCTACTTTTAAAGTATGTAAACTGCTTTCTTAAAAATAGAATAAAAAACGAATATCAGCAGTCGGTTCATACGATAAAAGCTAATCACATTATCTGCATTTTAAATCGTTTTGTTAATTGAATATTTACTAAGCAAATATTTTTTCAATAAATGTTGACAAATATAATGGGAATTAGATTTCATGAATTTATTCTGAAAAAAATTAGTAAGTTGCATGTGGCCTTCATATATTTTAAGAATCATATTTAACGAACACGAAACAACATTAAATTCTATCCATATCGTCTAGATCACATTCACAATAAACGCGCTATAATCGACATTCGGACATTAGTTTCAGAGACAAAGCATACGGATGGACGAACACATCATTGTGCAAAACGTAAAATTCTGTTTGAGTGAAAGATTTCATTTTTTATGTTAGAGATAAAATGATGCTGCTACATACTCTTACGTGAGAAATTCTAAACGTTGTTTGCATTAATTTATATTTTTATTCTGCAGATGTGGAAGTCAGTAACTGTAATCATTTTCAAGATATAAATATTCACTTAAGTAACATTTAGATAACAATAAAATTTTAACTCAAATGTTAAAATGCGAAGTATATAAACTACTACAATGAGCAGTGGATGAACTAACTCAGAATCGTGAATACTGATACGTGTTTAAACCTTCGAGTTCTTTTCCACAGTATTGTTTTTGTTTTTGTTGTTATTTCTATTATTAGGCCTATTATTATTTGAACCTTCAGCGTGTATCTCGTAAGACAGAACAATACTTTATTCTCCGGTTGGGAACTTGATGCTTGCAAGTAAGCCCACTTGGGATGTATTTACAAAGAATTAATTGGGACATGAAGAATTTGAGAATGTCATAAAATGATTGCTACCACGCACTACAGACTCTCTTATCACCTTCTATCTGAGAACGTAAAGATTAAAATATGATTTTATAATTTCTTTTGCATGGATTTTAAACTCAGTTTTTTGCATCAAGAAAGGCACATATTGATAGTGACTGGAAAAACAATGCTGTGATCACTGTTTAAATCTCAGAGTGATGAAGTCACAAGAGTCTGAGAAAGACTGTGAAAGGAGAAGGATCATTATTTGTAGGCATATTCTTTTCCAAATAGGCCTATTAAGATAATCAAATTAAGGAGGGGCATAGCCCATGCAATGCATGGAGGAGATGAGAAACGAATAGGCCTAAAGTCTGAAGGAAAGAGAGCAGTTGGAAGACCCAACCGTGGATGGGGATATAATATTAATATGCATTTTATGGAGAAAGTGTGAAATCATGTGGACTGAATACAAGTGTCTCTGATTAGAGACAGACGGTGGGCTCTAGTGAACACGATAATAAACTTCAGTTTCTATAAAACGCGGGGAATTTCGTGATTGGCTGAACGACTATTAGCTTCTAGGAATGACTGTCATCATGGAGTTATTTACTTTTCGAATTGTGAGGCAGAGGAAAAGAAAGGAAAGGAAAGGAAAGGAAAGGTAAAAGGAGGTTTCAGAAGATTTCCACTGTACACTTATCATAAATATTCAACTGGGAACAGAACATAGATCCACGAAGTTTTGTGTCAATCCTTGAGTCATTATCCTTTATAACGTTTTGTCCAGTCAGTTGTGTGCGGATTTGAATTTTCCTACATTCAAAGTACGGCTTTACTATGAGTTCATATCACAAACCACTTTAAAAAATATTTCTTTCTTAGAGTGGAGCTGCATTTACAGACCAGAAAATAATATGCCGATAATGCAGAGAGCTGTATTATTGCTGTAATTTAAGCAGAATGTACGATTAGATAGATTGTTGAGAACTTGAAGAAAATTCACTTGACCTATAAACATATGAAGCTTGTCAATAAACTTTTATCTTAATGTTTATCATTCCAGAGTCAGTAACTAACAGTTAAATATACATGCTAGTGTTTTATATGCGTTAAAGTTGAAATATTCCAGATGCGGCTTTCTTGATGTAAAACCCTGAATGCTCGGTTATATATAAACTCCTTCTTTCAAAATATGTTTTTTACAATATCTGTTCTATGACACCAAACCTTGTATTAACCCGTACAATGGTGTCCAAACTTCGATCACTGGGCCATATACAAACATCTTGATAAGAGTTCTGGCAATGTAAACTATTCATTAAAACTGCTTGAAAACATGTGTACTAGTTACAAATATACAAAGGCATTAATTATGATCGGTAGTTTGATTAAAATTGCAATGTTATGTATTTTATAACAATTTCAATAAAATTGTCTCAGTATGATTTACTGCTAACAAAACTACTGTCTTCCGGGTTGTTATGCGGTGGCGTCTGGTACAGGCATGCCGACGTTTCAGAGATGCTTGCTACCTCCATCATTAGTCCACCAGACTATACAGCGCCAACAACCCAGAAGGCAGCCAATTTCATACTCGCCACAATGAGAAATTGAAATCACCAATAACCCAGAAGGCAGCTAATTTTATACTCGCCACAATGAGAAATTGAAATCAACCTATCAGTATTTGCCACAGATAACTTAAAATATGAGCAAGACGAGATTATTTTTCCGAAAGAATAACACGCTGGAGACTAAAGTGTAAATTAATAGGGAGTTCTCACCAGTGAGAATGTAAGTTCTCATAACCTGCTGTTCTAAAGTGTAGTGTCGACCTGTGCAATGGGTGCTGAAAAATAATCAAGGTATTTTGCATATTTTGTGTACTTGTGCTATGAAAAGTTTCCTCACTTCTTTCAGCCTTGATTGTGATGTTTAATTCCAGCAAGCATTTTGTAATGAAAATTTGTATTTTGCAAGAAAAATTTGCTTGAGTGTCTATTGAAAAAGAATAAGAATTAAGAAATCTTAAACATGTTGCCTAAAAAATCTACTTAGCAGGTGTGTTCATGTATAACTAGCAGCTAAAAAGAAGAGCAACTGTAGTATGTCCTATTCCTTGCATGAAGTTTTAAGGATTAGGACGTCTGGTTTGTTTGACGGTAAAGGTAGAAATGTGGTTAGTGTCACCGTAATAAACACATTTTATCTCACTCGAAGTGCTGGTAGCGTTATAATAACTCGGAACATGTTCATTGTCATTGAGTTCAAATAGCATTAAATTGGACCAGCAGATTTAATGCCTACCAAAAGAGAAACTTAATTTAGGTTGAAAACTTAGCTGCTTCTAAACGTATCAAAGTGACTAACGTAGATGATATATGAACACTCCTGTCCACATCATTTTTAGTTTGAATTACTTATACGAAATGTAAATATATAAATTAACTCATGATCTTATTCTTCGAAGATAAACCGACGATTAATTTTCAAATCTTGCGAAGATTAAAAAAGAGAATGGTAGCATAATTTAACTCTTAGCAATAACTACCAGTGACTACTACAGAACGCATAAAGTTATTCTGCGTATGGTGGAACATTTAAAAAATTGCGGGCCGCAATATGCATATGCCATCAAAAACAAAGATTTTTCGAGATACTTTTTCGTCACAAGGAATAATTGACGTTTTCGATGTCAGTCTCCAGTTTCCAAACGTTGGTATCTTAATAATGAATTAATATATCCCGAAGGCGTAATTATTAATAATACTTTTAAAGCTGTTGAAGGTATCGGGGTTTTGCCGAATGCTTGTCTTCTGTTTTGAACACTTTCAATATCATATAACTGTTTTACCTGTTTCTGAGACTGATAAAATAACAATTCACAGCTTAAATATCATCCTGCTTATCGTATTAAATGAAACATTTAATTAATACTATTTTTAAATTAAAACAGTAAATTAAATAATATGCAAGGAATATCAAACTTATGTGTGTTCTATTTTCACTGAAACAATTTTTTTATGTAGTATAATAAGTTGGTGTGTTGCTTAAATGTGTGCGTTCTATTTTCACTGACATACTTTTTTTTGTGTTGTATAATAAGTTGGTGTGTTGCTTAAATCTATTCATAATATAGTTAAACGTGAAAATAACGGAATCTTGCAGAGACGAGTCTGGTAATATTTGGACAACACTGTACTAAAATGAACATCATATTTTGTAGCCACTGTATCGTAGTCGTATTTTGTGAGTTGCCCCTATGTATGTTAGAAAACTTTTTTATAATAAAAGCCATGTTGAGTCTTGTAATGTTTTCTAGCCTGTAAATGTATGGCGTGTCGTGGACTTTAATAGTTTCTCCGCGTAGGGATACCAAGATACTGCTCCCGTGTGTGGGTTTGGCTTGTGTATGTGTAAGCTTCTGCTTCTACTCAGTAAGTTTCCGGTGGTATTCATATGCGGCGCCGCTTTTAAGACAGTTTAAGTTAGTGATTTATGGTTGGACGTTAATATTGAGACAACCTTGATAGTGGTATCTAGATGAGTTTACAGTCCAGCACCTGAAACAATCCAGATCGGTTGTAAGATTTACAGGAGGAAGCATACATTGGTCAGAACTGTATTTATGTTCAAGCTGCCAAAGCAGTTAAAGGAACACGTTCGATAAGCTTTGTTTTATTGAGAATTTTGTGTACGTGTTGTTTAATTCGCTCTCCGTATTTTGGACACGGTTAACCAGTTCCTTTCGCTGTGGGCCGATTCTGTATTTCATTGAGGATAAACAATTTTTCACTGCAGTACGTAATTGAAATACAGGCCCGTATCGTAGGATGAGAGTGAAAGTGAGTAATAAATTGGAAGGGATGCATAAGTAAGAAGTCGTGTCCTAATTTGAGGTACTTTCCCGGAATTTACGAGGAAGGACTGAGGAAAATGTGTCAGGATAGCTGTTCTCCGTGTCGATATTTGAAACCAAGTACTCCAAAATAGAAAGCAGGACAGCTAATTACTCAACTACGAAGTTCAGTGCTTGTGTCTGTAAGGTAGCATAACGTACATATGTAAATGTGAAATAATCTTGAATTATACTGTTATATTCTGATTGTGCCTCGCGGCCGGGTGATAGCACTTCTCAGATCTCGGCTCAGAGACATCGTTCCTGGCCGAAAATGTTGTAGTTTTTACCAGCTCCTTTCGGTAAATGACTGTATAGTAGTCACACCAGAAATTAAACCACTCCTGTTTCCTTTCGAATCCTTTCTAGTTCATTATAATTGCCCGTCAAGAATAACGGATAATCTGAAGTTGTGACTAAAAATAAATTTGTATTAAAATATATAACAAAGTAGAATATAAAAGTTAAAGTAATTAGTTATCTTTGTTTAATAAATATTACAATATGTTTTAAAGCAGTGAGACATCTGTTTTGTTGCGTTGGACAGAAGCAGGCTATATTGTAGGCCGTGAATGAGTGAACAATCGTTAGTTTTAATGCATTGTTTCCACAAAACAGCATATAAATTTAATGTTTTATAACAAATAACAAATAATTACTTATTTTAATTATCGGTTGCAATACGAGCTAATGTATCCCAAATTCAGTTATAATCTTATATCGAAGTTATAATAGCTATGCTGATTTGTAGGTTTACTTTTGCATAGTAGGCCATGGTTGACTGAACAATATTTTCAGTGCACTATTTCCACAAAACAGCTCATAAAATTTAGAATTAAGCCATGTTGTTTAAGAAAAAAATTAATATAACTGCTTATCTAACCTTATTTAAAGAATAAAATACAATTTATTGGACCGAAAACTCAAATACAGTATTATTTTGAGGTTTGTACATAGTGGGCTTACTTTAACAGGATTACCATGGTAACGGTACTGTCCTATAGTTCCCAAAAATCTCTTAACACGAAATGATCATCAACCAGCTAACGTTGCTTACTATAAAGTTTCGTGTTTTTAAGTTTACTTACATAATTTCATTTATTGTATGTTCCAGCTTGCTAGTAAACATTAAAATATGCTCCATTTGTTATTAATTAAATAAAACAACGTGCTAAAAGACAATAATTCTCTGTGGCAATTTTTGGTGAAAATTAAGAGCTTAATCATTCTTCCCCTTTGAATTTTGCAGCTGGAATTCAACGTGTAACTACGGCTTTCGGCGATAGGTCGCACAGAGTGTTAATATTTGTCAAACGTTTATTCAAAGATTGCAGTTGTCATTTTCAGGGTAAATGTGTAGACGATTAGCGGTTTTGGAAGCCTTATATGGGGTATTCAATAGGTTCTTCCATCAAAAATCGAAACATCCTGACCTCGAAAGCCGAAGTTACGTATAGACCTAGTAGGTTCATATAGTGTCGGTGAAATCTATTTTCTGAAGTATTTTGTTTCTGTAACAGGCATGTGTCTGCGCCCTCCAAGCGACCTCTGAAAACAGCTTCGGAACAAAATACAATTCGGAGGTAAGCAAGTAAACAGCTTCTATCCGTGCATGATAATTTTACCGTCAAACTGTCAGAACATTTTCTTCGCCATTTTAATTTTACATCTAAAGTGACTACGAAAAATGTTAGTTGCTTTAGACTTGGAATTTGTTATAATAGTGAGCAATAAGCCATCTATGTTTAAATATATAATTACAGTCTATTTACAGTGAACAGAAAACACGAAATTTTGGGATTATGACATTTGTTAGAGTTAGATCTAATTCTTCTGTATGTATCACAAATAAGGAAGTTCTGTGGAGAATAATTAATCAGGAATCAGCCACATTCAGCGTCGGGGAATCAGAAGACATACAAATATTTTCTTACATTGGAAGTGAAATGTATAAAAAATGCTCAGCCGTCGTATTTAAATCCGCCACCAATTCTTTGTAGCTTACATGGCATCAATTAAATTACACCGAAGTTCAAGAGACCTAGAATTATATTACTGGAACTTAATGGAAGAATTTAAAGTGTTGTAACGAGTAGTAACTGCACCTGCATTAACAATCAATAATTCTGAATTCTACCTACACATGATGCTTCGAATAAACAGGGACAGTTTCCTTAATTTCTGAATTCTACCTACACATGATGTTTCGAATAAACAGGGACAGTTTCCTTAAACACCGTTAATCCGATGACCTTTGTATTGTTTTCTTCGTGGTAGAAACTAAATTCTTAAGCGATGTGGCTTCAATGGTTTACAGATCACATTTGTCAAAAATAACCGGTTCTATAATGGTATGAAATTTTTTGATATGCCGACAAACTATCAGCTTCTTTAGGACACCACACCATGGATTTGGTTAATGATAAAATTATATCACTTGACTGCCACGAGATATGTGATTTTATTTCAAATTCTATGATGATTGTGAATAACATTTAAATCGATGCATTCCACAGCCAGATTTTAAAACACCATGTTCCGCCACTTCGTCAGGAATTGGCATCAACATCCTCACATAGCACGCATTTTTTAGTTTAGAAGTATGAGAATTTTCGGCTGGAATGCCTAAAAATATTAATCACTTGGGAGAACTAGACGCAGATGGCAGGATAATTCTGTAATGGATCTTAGTAGATAATTAAGGTTCTATGTTGTGAGTCGCTTTCATGCGCCTCAGGGTTGGGAATGATTTTATTCTCTAGTGAACATAATAATAAACCTTACAAGCGAAACAAAATATGGGAATTTTTTGCTTAACTCAACAACTATTATCTTATCAAAAAATACTATCTTCCACAGAGGTGTTCTTCAGTTAAAGCATCTGTGAATAGGATAAATAACATTTAAACAAATTCTTCAAATTGTAATTAATATAAACAACATTTCGCAGTTTACTTGACAGGCTGTCTAGCTCCAGCATATTACATCTGCTTCAAGTCTACTTCGTAATTTAAATGTAATCAATGAGGAGCTTAAAGACATGATTTTGTTAATATTATCATCCCTACTTCGTTCATTAACCTTCGCAGGATTCCTGAGTTGAGAATAAAAGAAAACTTACTAAGAGGGAGGACATTAATATTTTTGTTTTCCTGTGCTGTGTAAATTGTTTCTGTGGCAATTAAATCAAAGAGTGACGTCACATCACGTGATCCTAGGAAGGCTTGTTGCCATGCCTCAACGAAACCATCAATGACCATCCCTCGAATGGCTATCATAAAACCATTAACTTGTATTCAGTGGCCATTAAAGTTAAATATTATTACTACGGCTTTACCGTCTCTGTCTTTCTCTGTCTACTCTTTAAAAACCGAAAAGATGGAAGCAGAGCTGCAGCTATTCTGTTCGTGCCGTCTTATTGCGCGCAGAGAACAATCTTATTGGCCAGTACAGGCAACAAATAATACATCTTATATAGGTCTAAACACATCACAGTGTTTGCAAAACTATACAATAAACTGTTAAAATACTTAAATTCAAAGATTTCAAAATACATGATTCATATTAATCACAAAACTACTGAAACAACCAGAACTGCTGGAACATTGTTTAACTTTCTTCCAGGACAATGCAGCAACCTATCACAACCACGATGTCATATCGAGCTGGAGTTTGGAGGTGTTGGCACACCTTCATTAAGACAAACAGTAGTTTTTGGTGTAATGATTTTCTCCTAACTAATTTGAAGGAACTGCAAATTAATTCTTGAACTAAGTGAACACACACAAGACATTAAACAGAATTTATTGTGAATTACTCTACTAAATCCAATGGAAATAGTAGGGGAAAATAAATGAATAATGTTTTAAAAATGTGGTGAAATTATTAGTAAAATAGCTAAAAATTTAAACAACATAAAAATTTTGATACCCATACCTAATAAATATGAATTGTCTATGATATATCAGAAATTCATGATTATTTTTAATAAAATAAAAAAGCCCCACCTCATGATGCAATGCATAAATTTTGCCCCCACTGAAGAGGTTAACAAAAAATTGCAATTAAGTCATCATTATACTAACAAATATGCAAGACCATCACTTTTAACCTATTCTAACTCAATAATGATTCTGCACTGGATACTTAAAGAGTTGTTCCCTTTTCAGAGGCATTTTTTTCTTGAATAACACTGTAAATTTTAAACATTATTAACTTCTTACACCCAGTCACTGTGGCCGTGCAGTCTGGGTGTGGGCCTTTTGTGCTTGGAAACTGGGACCGTGGGTTCAAATCCCACTGAAGCCATGGATATTTGTCCACGTTTTTCTGTGTTGTGCTGTCCTGTGTACAGGCAGAGGCCTAGCGACGGATCCCTCGTCCGAGGAGTCCTAACGAATGTCTATAGATCAAGCTAACGAAAAGTTGGGACCCGCAGTGCTCAGGCACTTGAAGAACTGGTCGTTCCCAGTATCCCAGATATATACAGGATTACAATAATATCATGGTTAGTGTTTTTTGGGTTTTGATACTTGTTAATTGATTTGATAGCCGTTTAGAAGTTGAAGTATATCACAAGCGTATAAGGGATTCGATAGAAAAATATAGCTTAGCGTTTTTTTTAATAAATTTACCATAGGAGGCCTACTGAAGACACTTCGTCTGAAATATCCCATTACGTTATCGACCATAAATATAGTTACAGGATAATATTACGTCATATAAAAAGACCCATTGTCATGTTACGAGAAACGTCCATGGTCTGAAATCGCATATTCGTGAAAATTTACAAATAGTTCGCTCTAAGTTTGTTCAAACACATAATTTGAACAAGATTCTGATAATTAGTTTTTTGGAGAAACTCTACGTATGAAACTATGTAAATATAAGTAAAAAATCAGACTTTATAAAAGATTGTACTTGTATTGCTCCAGAAATAATCTAGAAATGCATTGAACTTTCAGTATTTGCCACAGATGACTTAAAATATGACCAAGACGAGATTATTTTTTCGAAAGAATAACGCGCTGAAGACTAAAGTGTAAATTAATAGGGAGTTTGTATTTAAAAGTATCTATTGAAAAAGAATAAGGATTAAGAAATCTTAAATATGTTGCCTAAAAAATCTACTTAGCAGGTGTGTTCATGTATAACTAGCAGCTAAAAAGAAGAGCAACTGTAGTATGTCCTATTCCTTGCATGAAGTTTTAAGGATTAGGACGTCTCCATGTATAACTAGCAGCTGAAAAGAAGAGCAACTGTAGTATCTCCTATTCCTCGCATGAAGTTTTAAGGATTAGGACGTCTGGTTTGTTTGAATTAAAAATTAGCCTATGACATCTGAATCCTTTAAACGTTCTGATTCGACACTTATATGAATCGAACTGCAAGTTTACTTTCACAGAATAATTCAAATTAAAAATGATCTGCACAAAGATCCACGTATTGAATGGGATTCGAACAATCTACACCATTGTTAAGTGTAGTTGAATATGTGCTTCGCGGTTTTCGTGATTCCCACATATAAAATTCTAGCAGGCATAATTCCTTTAAAGACATACGCGAATCCGTTCAGTGTGATTCCCACATATAAAATTCTATCAGGCATAATTACTTTAAAGACATACGCGAATCCGTTCAGAATAAATTCATTATTGCGATACTTCGGCCGGTTTATCTCATGTAGCAAGCTGTTTGCAGATTTACATTACATAAACTTGTTTAGAATTTACATAATTCCTTTTCCTGTATACTAGTTATTAAACAACTATTAGCTTTGCTTGAAATATTTTCAAGATAAAGAAGTATACCTAGAAATATATGTATAAGCACTGGAACCTTAATATCTCCTAGTTAATTAGTTTTTAGGCGAAACTAAATGATGCAAAAATTAGCCTATTAGTCTTGGCATATCAGTCTGTCTGTACGCACAAAATTCAGCGTCCACAAAACTGATTTTCTTAAAATATCATACTTCGGATTCTAAAAAAAATGTTTACATATCCTTATTTTGGTTAGAATTGGAAACAAATTATGGCCAGTTTACATGAAGACATATATGAATTAATGGGGTACTTCCACGTGGGGAATCTCTAGCGAGTATCACAACCAAGTGGCTGAATCCTCCTTGATGACGTTATCGCTCGGTCTGACAGGCGTCATATGTCCCACCTACATTTAAGGTAATGAACCTAGGTGGCACTGACGTCACTGTTTCCATTTACTAAGGTAATTCTGATGAACTCATTGATACGATTGACTGATTTGTGAATTTCCTAAACTTTTAAGTTAGCGTCTAAATGAAGCAGGAGTTATTAAAGTTAATATCTCCAATAATGAACAATTGATTGAGAAATCATGACTAAACAAGACAGCAGAAGAAATGTCTCTACCATTCTGCCTTTCGTGCTGATATTCGCTGTGTTTGTACAGTACGTGATGTCCAGATAGAGAGAGTCGGTTCTCGACCCTTGCCGTCGAGCGAGGCAGATTTGACGGCGTCCAGTCGCGGGAACTGTCGGCAAAATTCCGCCGATAACCGGTCTTCATCGCTTCCACGGAAAAACAAGTTAAACTCAATCGA